TATATATATAAAAGTCTAAATACATTTTAGAAACATATAGATGCATATACATATTTTTTTTTATAAGTATAATAACACATTTTTATGCTTAAAATCATATTTACATGTTTAAAATTATATAAAAACGCTTCATAATATATAAATAAGTTTGTATAGGTATACAATCGTGTATATATATATGTATTTATTCATTTTAAAATGTGTGTATATATATTTATACACATTCTTATGCATTTATTCATTTTTATACATTTTTTATGTATAAATACATAAAAAGATACATATTATACACACATTTTTTAAATGAGTAGATATATATACTCATGTTTGTATGCCTATACAAACTTATTTATAGATTATAAAATGTTTTTATGCAATTTTAAACATGTAAATACGATTTTAAAGGTATAAATACGTTTTTTATATGTATTTATGTGTTTAAAATAATAATAATAATAATATTAATAACAATAATAATAATAATAATAATAATAATAAGTTCAGAAACGTATATAATATATACAAGGTTTCAACAATTGCGTCAAGTATATTACATAGACTAGTGGTAAAGACGTTAGGGATTTATAGTAAAGGTCGGCGGTTCGATTCTTACAAGCTCCATTTGGTAAGCATTTACCCTCAGTTAAATCAGTTTATACTATTATGTAGAATTAATAAGCAATATATACATGAAAATAAAGATGAACAAACGACCTGTTGGACCGGACCGGACCGGAAAAAAACTGAGACCTATCCCGAACCGAACCGGATATTCTTATAAGTGGACCGGTTTTTTGGTTTTGTTTTTTACAATAACCGGGTTTCGGGTTCGGACCGGACCCGAAATAAGATTTTTAACCCGGTCCGGACCGAAAAACCAAAGGTTATTAGATTTTTTAAGGATGTACATTGAATTGACATTTTTGTGACAAAATATTAAATCACGTTGAAATTTTTGTGACAAAATAAATTTTAAAACTTAACATATGCAATTTTCAAAAAATCATATCAACCAAACTTGTAATATACCGCAAAGTGTTAATTTTTATCAAACCAAATTAGATAAATAGTATTCACGTTTTACAAAAAGTCATATATTTAGCCTCCAATATTTTTTTTGGTGAAGATGGTGTATATATGGTTTTAAAGTCTTGCGATTGGTCCTTATGGTTTGGTAATCGGAACCGGACAGAAACTGTAAACAACACTGTCAAAGTGTAAGTCGGTAACCCGAAACCCGGTTTGGTACCTGAAACCGGACCGGACCGAAACCAAACCCAATACAATCTAAACCGATCCGGTTTTCGAGTAAGGTAAATCACGATTTCCTGTCTTCGGGCCGGTTCGGTCTGGGTTCGACCCGTTGCTCATCCCTACATGAAAATGTCTTTCGGCTTGGTGATAACAATGCATGCCTATTGTGTGTGAAGTCTCGGCAGGTTCATATTCCTCCCATACGCCATATTTTTCTTATCCACTTACTGATCCACATAGTCGCCGATGTGGCTACCACGTCACCTTCATGTCCTAGTGGACACCACATAGACCTGATCCACATAGTCGCCGATGTGGCTACCACGTCACCTTCATGTCATTGTCACCTTCATGTCCTAGTGGGCACCACATAGACCTGATCTACATAGTCGCCGATGTGGCTACCACGTCACCTTCATGTCATTGTCAGCACCACATAGACCGGTAACCTATATACAAGGTAAACGATAAGGGGCAAAATTTAACAAATCTTCTCTTATATTAGGCTTTTAACGCACCTAAAGTTGTCTTAAGGACAAAACCAACAAAAGTTGGAAAACTTGAGTCAGAAGAGATGGTTTGATCCTCTTATTAATTTTTTTTTCTCGAACCAAGAGAAGCTTGGAAGCAACCTGCTATCGATATCGATAGGCAAAGACTTTTATATCAATAAACCTATAAACTAAACTAGTAGCACTTTAAAAATAAAAGTAATTGTTTTAAATAAGCAATTCATTTTTTAAAAAACTGAATGAAACCATACAATAGAGTGCAATTTTTGCTTAAACTTTCTAACACATTAATTAAGAAAAAAAGAGTCTATTTGTGCATATAATTCTCTCTGGCTAAACCTTATTTACAGGACTTGATTCATATCCACGTCCAAAATCCAAAATTTGGTTTGTAGAAATATCAGTTCCTCAAATCAATAACTATGACGCTGATGTTATCGGTGCTCCGACGTCCCAAAGCCAGACGTACCAGCAACGTCGCTGCTGAATTGGTCCTGCATCCAGCGGCGGCCCCTTCATCTGCTTCAATCCGAGGCTCCTGGTTCTCCACAAGACATTCGTGAACTATCTTACAAACCAATTCACTCGAAACAACATCCCATAATCCGTCACTCGCTACTATCAAACATTCATCTCCGGCTTCTCGTCTTGTCACCGTGATTTCAGGTTCAGACGTTACCCACTGTTTCAGAACCCTATCTCCTGTCAATTCGTACTACATCTAATCAACAATTCTTCATGTTTAATTTCAATTCCATTCCCGATTTTAAAACTAACCTATTGCTCGGGACATCGCAAGGATTCCTTCCACTCGTGCTCCATCTGCAAACATGATTCGGCCTCCACGACTTTCGATTCTTGCTCGTTCGTCTTCCCTATCAGGCTGGAATCAACACAGTACGAACCAATTTCATAACAATCGTCTTTCAAAAATTGAATTATTGGAAAGAAGTAATGTTTGGGGATGTTATTTACCTTATGGTCGACGGAAAGGGGTATGGCCCTGGTGTTACGGCAGAGGACGGCGCGTGAGTCTCCGCAGTTTGCCACAAATATGTACTCCTTCGTCAGAATCGACACCACCGCCGTCGATCCTATGAAAGACAACTGCGGAATGCATCTACAGATATTGGAACTACTACTCAGTCCACCACACAGACACAATTTCATCGAGATCTCATCTATCCTCTGGAAACTCCGCTTAATCGCCGTCTTCCATAGCTCTTCGCCACCACTACTATCCGGCTTGTCTCCAGTTACCTTCATCCCCATCAACTCCTCCTCCATGATAACGTGCATCTTCTCTTTACACAATGCTGATACCTGCTAAGCAAATTTAATTGCATATTCAATTCTGTCATTTCAACAAAAAGTTACTTTTCGAAAATTCAAAGTACTTGTGAAAAACAGGGGAGAGGTTTACGTGACGGCCGCCATGTCCATCGAACACACCGAAGAAATGCACTGGTCGGAAACCGTTGATCTCCGGCCGGCATAAGTTCGTCCGAACTGAAACTTCGTCTTCCATTTCACGCTGCCTACCGACCACCGACATGATGCCATGCGGCGGCGGCGGCGGCGTCTCCATGATGCTAATCAAACTCCTGATCGCAGCCGTGGGGGTAGAAGTCGTCGGGATATCGCTAGTCGTATGTGCCGCACAGTACTTCTGATGTTCATCTTCCCTAGCGATAACCGATAAACCGGACGCACCTGCGGCCATCCTCCTCATGGCCATCCTCCTCCGTCGTCGCTCACGGCAGTTATCCGGCGAATCTTCATCTTCGTCACTCACCATGACACTCTTGCAACTACCGTAAACTCGCTTCATTATCGTTCAGAGACAAAATCTAAGCCTTCAATCATCTCTGAGAAAAAAATTGAAAAAATATATGAAAACACACAGGTGTCAACTGAAAATATAGTGGGAGTTAACTCGTGCAATGCGACGAGCAACGTGGTAAACTCTGGTGCATCTGTCGTGGAACCCTGCTCAACTCAACGGGCAGGGTGACTGAGTTGCCCGACCTGACCGATGACCGACCTCGGGGGTGTAGGATGATGACACGTGGAAAACGTGATGTTTGAGAGTATATGATGAATGTGTCATATTGTATCAGGAAATAGTGGAAGGTGGACACCTGTCAGCTGAAATCTGAGTAAAGCTAAGTTTAGGAGTCACATGTGGGCCTTTGTTTGTTTTGTTTTTTTTTTTTTAAGTTTATAAGATAAAGAAAAAATAGGATTTTCCTTGCGCTTTATGAAGATGGGGCAAAATAATCATTTTGTTTTGAATTTAATGGAGCTCCTAACCTTGCAACAAAACTACTCTTTAGGACCATCCGAAAACCATAACTTTTGATTTACCACATCTACTAAGCTTGTAATTAACTCTTATTTAAATATCAAAGTTTTATTATTATTATTATTATTATTATTATTATTATTATTTTTAAGTGTAGCAAACATCTTTACTAATATAACTTTCTAATGAACAGAGGTGGTAGTGATCTATTAAGGCAACTACATGCTCTAGGAGAGGCCGAATCATCGTGAAAGTGTAGAATTTGGGTGATTTAGTACAGTTTGTGTGTTTCTTCCATTGGTATAAAAAAGTCATATTGTTTGATTGCAAATTACAATCCAACAAAGAAGAATATGACCCCAAAAATGTGGTTCTAAAGAAGCAAACTGTAAGCGACTTATGAATATTAATACCATCCATCCTAATGAAGCATGCAACAATGGTTCGTTTACAACAACATAATAATAATAATAATAATAATAGAAAAACAAGTTTCAAGATCAGAACCGAATTTAATGCTACAAAACATCTATACTTACAATAAAAAAAA